GACGAAGATAGAGTTGTCAACCAGCCGTTCCGCAAAACCGCCTGTCGATACGTATCTAAACCTTTTCGCGATGGCGCCAGATTCTACGCCAAACCCCCTGTCGACTGGAGTCAAATTTTTTCGTGGAGGCGTTTCTTTCGCCGATTTGTCATAATCGCAGACTATGAACGACGCCTAACCTGTGCAGTCTCCGCCCACTAGTAGGTGACTCCTCCCACGCGCGTCTTTCTGACCTTTCATCTTCGTCTCTGTAATGCAGAGTGTCCGAGGTGTCTAAAAACTTAACAGGTTCCTTTTATAATTGAAGGGAGAAAAGGGTTTCTGCATAAACTCTGAGGTTGGATGAGGTTGGATTTCCCTGGTGGGTGGGGTGCTTCACCCACCTCGATGCTATTTCTCTCTTATGCTTAAGCAGTACCCAATCCTAGTCCAAATTATTATTTTTATATTATATATAATTATTATCAAATTGTGAATTACACAGGGTTCTTCGCATCTTGCAGCACTAACTGCGGTTTAGTATAGGGAAGAACCAGGAATAGCGTGGATGTGCTGAAGAGTGCAGCACTAATCAGGTGCATAGGAGGACATTAGAATGTGATGGAAAAGCACAGCTGTTTATGTCATGATTGGATTTCGTCAAAGAGGAGTCCTGCCATGACGCCTATAAATTAAAGGAGCCTTCGCCGTCGATGATTTTCTCCGGGATGTGGCGCCCATACCACTTCATTCCAGATCATAACCAAACCCTCCCATCTCGGGGACGGTAAATCGGTACCGTACTCGTCCGGAAGGCTATAATCAGGCTTTTGGAATTCAGGCCCATGCAGTCTGTTCTGGTTTGATGAGGTCAACCGGCTTTCAATGATTTTAGCCTTCCGGACGAGTATGGTACCGATTTACCGTCCCCGAGCTGGGAGGGTTTGGTTGATTCGTAAGGATCACTTGCTATGACACTCACTCCGCCCATGCACCTTCTAGCCTGTGAGAATTTACGGTCATCTTTTGCGTATTATCACTGAAGAAGACAAGGTGCAGTATTTACTTAGCTTTGTATTATAAATTTGCTGCAAAGCGTTGGTGGTCAACTTCATTGGTTGCTCTCATTCACCAACCCCTGGCAGAACTTTCCTCAACGGAGAGATGTCCTGTTCGCTCACCTTCTGGAAAGCAAGGCAATATCTAGAGAATATTTTTTGATTGAAAATATGCGGTTTTTGGTTTTTCTTGAGCTGATTGTGCATATTTAACTTTATGATGCATTGCGCATCTTGATAAGGCAACATTCATGCATGCTGCGACAGTGGAGAAATGCGGAAATTAGAGAATCTTGGGAGCCGGAAAATTGATTAGATACGTATCGACAGGCTGCCCACGATAGAATCGGATATCAATCGATATGTGTGTAATATGTTCCGTGCATTCTCTGAAATTCACAGTTTCGCGATCCTCCAAATCGAAGTACTAGCGAAGAAGGTAGCGCCACGAAGGGCGTAGCATTAGAACGCGGCCTAATTGGAGGGTTATGCGATTTTTTGCAGAAGTGATGTATTTGGTTGAGACCTCTTATTTTAGGCCAGGATATTCTTGCTCGTGCAAAGAATGGAACAGGAAAGACTGGTGCATATTGCATACCGGTCATTGAGAAAATCAATCCTGCTGTCAAGAAAATCCAAGCGCTTGTTATCGTTCCAACTCGCGAGCTTGCTCTTCAGACTTCGCAGATATGTGTGGAGCTTTCAAAACACATCAAACTGAAGGTACGAGTGCAGTAGTATTTACTTTTAATTGTTCTGCTTCTTCTTTTTGGAGTAATTAATTGAGCGGTTTTCTAGATTATGGTTACCACTGGTGGTACAGATTTACGTGATGATATCATGCGTTTGAATGGGTCGGTGCATATGGTGATTGCAACGCCCGGACGTATTCTCGATTTAATGGAGAAAGGTGTAGCCGACATGTCGAACTGTAAAATGCTTGTGCTTGACGAAGCTGACAAATTACTCAGTCAGGACTTCCAGGTTTGTTCATGGAAATATGATGAACTAGGAACTTGTGATCTGTATTTGTACCAGTAAAGAAGTTGGAGCAGTTTGGCTAGAGAGTGGAATGAGCACTTTGCACTTTTGCTGCTTTCCATTGTCGTGTCGAGCTAACAAGACTCGTGAAATCTAGTGAAGCCATGAAGTGATACTAGTAAGAGTTTGTGGAAACTACTCTTCAACCCTTGTGGAGAATTCCTGTCAACTCCTTTAGAGCATTGTACAGTGGGAAGCATTGGAAGTGTAAAAGCCCCCACCCCATCGCCGAATAGCGCCGAGAAGATTCTCGAATCCTATTTTTGGAGGTTTGCGTGCTCTAATTTCGGATAATGCCTACATTGTTCAGGGTATCCTGGATCGCCTTATCTCGTTCCTGCCGAAGGAGCGTCAGATCATGCTCTATTCCGCCACTTTCCCAATGACTGTTACCGAGTTTATGCAAAAGCACATGAGGAAACCTTACGAAATTAACCTCATGGAGGTTAGTTTGCCGTGTTTTCAAGCTTATAAATTAGACAGCGAGCTTAAGTGACATAAACGACATTTATCATCTCCGAGCTGCTGTATCCTGTCTCTATCGCAGTGAGTAGTGCTGAAAGTGGTTACCTTTCTATTAATCACTACAAGGAAGACTGTCACGAATCCTAGATCATATTCAAAAACACCATTATTATTAGGTCTTACTCTTTTCAACGGGTTCCTATAAAGTTTTCTCAACACTTTCACCATTGCAAGGCTCCACGGTGAGCTGGTTTAGTCGATACATTAAGGTCTCCAGTGCCGATAAGTTAGAAACCAGTGAGAACTGAAATGAAGCGGGTGTGAGGCGTGTGGTGCTCAAGGTGCATAGCTGCTTGAACTCAGTCATTTGAGATTTACTTATTTCTTACTTTTGCGGTTGTCCGCGTAGCGCAGTTTGACCGATGACACCTCCGGCAGGCCCGCTTTTACAAAGTGTCGGTGGCTGTGCCCGGCATCGCCCTTCCCTTGAAGTTCCCACACCTCCCCCCGTTCGCCAAACGTTTTTTGCACTTTCCAATGTTCTGACTGCCGACATGCTTGTTCTGTCTGCGCTCCAGCGTTCCGCATCAGGACCAGTGAGAAATTTCAAATAATCGCATAGCCATCACTAGACCGCACTAGAAAATTGAGACAGGTACTTCATTCATCTGAGCTCTTCGGAAGTAGAGAAAGTTAACTTATAGCACCCAGTGACTGGGTCGATTAAGTTGAATGGCGAACACGCTCTGCCTCCTTTGACTGAGTCGCTTCATTTAAACAAGCCTTTGATCTCCAGAGTGAGCGTTACTGGTTCATTTGAGTACTTTCATTTGTAAAAGTACTGAGTGTAAGATTCTGCGGTTACTGTCGTAATCCTATTCCTGGTTTGGAAAACTCAGGTAATCCTGGTTTGGAAAATTCGCGTGTAATTTCCAAACTATCTGTTTTGGTTCATGGGCTCGACTAATCTGCAGTCGTTAATGTAAAGGTACCCCAGTGTTCATTTGATGTTCAGATGCCTTTCTCAGACATGGTAGTTCCGTCCGCAAAATTGAAATGTCAAAATCGTAGCTCAAAAATACCTGCGGAAAGCGCGACCCGCATGCGATGGAACCACTGTTCTGCCCATTAACCACGGCGACGCTTAACTTTCATTTTTAGCTATAACCGCATCTGGGCCGCTTCTCATTCTCTCCATTTCGAATTGTGTGAGTGAGATGATGATAAGGAGAGAGAGCTGGCACCAACAATTAATAGCCCGTCTGACCGCACCCTTTCTTCGCCTTGTGCACTTACGAGCGCGGTCCAGCATGAGGTTCTATATGGGGCATTTCGGGCGGGCTTTTAATTTTTTCCTTTCCATTTGTGTTATCCTGTCATTAGTATGTGAGCCGCACAAATCCCCAGTTTTGATCGCGGGGCGTGCCCTCAAGTGCGTTTGCGGCTATCATGAGGATGCCTCGAAAATGAATCATTCCTTCAAGTTACGATGAATCATTTGTTTCTTATGTTCATTTGTCACGGAATAAAGCCTGTAAGGGGCGAGGAGAGTTACACACCGAAAAGTAGCCTTTGTCATTTAGTTGGTTTTTTTCAACTCATTGAAGTTCTGTTAGCGATGTGGCTACAGTAGCTCAGAGAAGTCATGTACATTTGGTTATTTGACCGATCAGACTTGTTGCAGTGAAATTCTTTACAGGAGCTCACCCTTCTTGGAGTCACTCAGTATTACGCGTATGTACAGGAGAAACAGAAAGTTCATTGCCTTAATACTTTGTTCCGCAAGGTACATTTTGTACAAATAATTTTCTTATATTTAATTCAAAAAAATCTCATAGTAGCGCTGCATATCTGGTCAGGTGATCAAAGTTTCTAAATTCAGCTCCAAATCAACCAGTCCATTATCTTCTGCAATTCAACGCAGCGTGTAGAGCTGCTGGCCAAAAAAATCACCGAAATAGGATATTCTTGCTACTATATTCATTCGAAGATGGCGCAAAATCATAGAAACCGCGTCTTCCACGATTTCCGTCAGGGTAACTGTCGAAACTTGGTGTGCTCCGATCTGCTTACTCGTGGTAAGTATCACTTTCACATTTCTTTCCTTATTACTTATGGATACTATCACTGAGGAATACTTCGTTTCAGGTATCGATATTCAAGCTGTAAATGTTGTAATCAATTTCGATTTCCCTCGAAACGCAGAGACCTACCTCCATAGAATTGGCCGGTAAGTTTCTGAGATTACGCAGAAGTTCTTTAAGTTATTCAATTGAAAAAAGGAAATTATCTTCCTCTCCAGTACGCTCCATCTCACCAAACCCCTCATCAACTCTGGCTTTTATGAGGTCGTGGAAAACCTTGAGAAGGCTCCAATATCATGAAAGCAACCTTAATGGCGGTGCTACTATTTAGATGAAAAAAAGTGGCACAAAGTGCCAAAAAAAGTGCCATCTGATAGTTGTATGTGGACGATGTGGTATATGGTTTTCTCAGGAATTTTTTCTTTTATATGAAAGTGAGAAACTTCTCTTTTTTGAACTCGACATGTTTCGTTGCGAGCCTAAGCCTTTCTTGAGATCACTGATTGCAGAAACAAGCAGCTCTTACATAGCCACTATAGTTACAGCATCAACGGCAACCATAGAAGCAGCAAAAACCTGTAGTGAATTATCTGGTATAGAAAAATGATAGGTGTTATATTATGATAACTGCTGTTTTGCGCCGCACTTCGCGTTCCGAAAGTTATCACAAGAATGCTAAGTTGGGCAAAAGGCGGGAGTCGAACCCGCACCTCACGCTTTCCGGGCGAGTGCGCTATCCGTTACGCCACCAGGGCCGCTTTTACCCTCTCAGCTTAACGGCTTTTATGCCGTAGCCTTACAGCACTCACACGTTTAACATAGTGAGCAGGTCAGTTGTAACGTTAGATACCGGCAATGAGCCGCAAGGCCAGAGGCTTTTACGATTTTTAAAGTTGTTCTACGATGACTGTTACTGACGTTTAACTTTCAGAACAGGAACTGCGGCGTAAAGCAGCAGTCATCATAATAAAACAACTTCAAAAATCTTAAAAGCTTGCCGATATCTAACGATTACGGCTGACCGGCTCACCAAGTTAAACGTGTGAGTGCTGTAAGGCTACGGCATAAAAGCCGTTAAGCTGAGAGGGTAAAAGCGGCCCTGGTGGCGTAACGGATAGCGCACTCGCCCGGAAAGCGTGAGGTGCGGGTTCGACTCCCGCCTGGGGCACGACTTTGCCCATAACTCAGCATTCTTGTGAAAATGATGGTGATCTGGGTATTTGTACACATGCAGACGAAGTGTGATTTTTTTTCATGCTTATACCCAGGACACTGCCGCTTTCCATTTCTGCCAACGTCCACTCAGTAGGGCTAGGCAACTCCCTCCTCCTCCCAGACAATTCACTGTACGTTGTTGCTGTTTCTATGGTTACTACTGATGCTTAAACTATTACTTTTCTAGGATATTGCTCGTGTTTGTAGCTCAGTGGCCTGAAGAAGGGCTCAGGCCTTTAACGTTGTCGATAAAGTTGTCGATAAAGTGTAGAAGAAATGCAGAGATTCCCAATTAAAAACGCAAGAATAAATTTCAGTACAGTAAAAACTATTACCTCTTACTCTACGCAGATTTAGACCACAGCCCGCAGCGCAGCGTGCGCGCAGTAGTGGCAGCGGACTCGTTCTCTAAACAGTGGGACCGTCGATATGATTGATTTCAGAGTACTGGAGTCTTCCCAAAGACTTCCACAGTGTTGTAGCAGCTAGAGTTGACTGGGGCTTGGTAGCGTAGACTGAGGGGGTGGACACTAGAAATACATGCTAGGGCCTTCGAAGACGGCGATCCGGTCGGAACTTTAGGCTATTAAAACATGTCCCGCCTAGCAAACTTGTAAGGCGAAGAATAAATGAATACAAAGAGAGGTTATGTTTCTTTTTTCTTCAGATCTGGAAGATTTGGCCATCTTGGTGTTGCCATCAATCTTATTACGTATGAGGATCGTCATACACTTCGCCGTATTGAACAAGAATTGCGTACCCAAATTGAGCCCATACCGAAAGCTGTCGACCCGAAGTTATACGTGGCTGATTTCCAAATTGTCGACGATGAAGATAACAGGGCGAATGCCAACTGAGGCTCAGGTATGAGGCTGTTATCGATCGGACGAGCAAACGTTCCTACTACCTATTCATCCATGTATTTCCGTGCTTTCTATAATTATATCTGCTCGTCATGCTTCCATCTGATCTCGTTTCTGTTCGATGGCTGAGCCTCCCTTTTTTTCTTCACCAAACGCCGCGGCAATACGTTCCAAATGTGTAAACTTTACCTGCTCTTCGTTGTTTGTCTCTTTGTTCCCAGTTTCTAATTTTGTTCCTAGTTCTTTTTTTATATTATGTGCATTTGCAAATGATATTGGTGACATTCAGTGATCACACATTCTTCAAGCGCGTTCTTCATTTTAGAGATCTTTTGTTGCATGTACTGCAGTGTGTAGTTTTTCATTCTTTATATTTTGTAAATTTATGCGCTCACTGCTAATTTTTTTTGATAGTTGAGATGAGACGTGTGTTCTGGTAGCGTTCTCAATTATTGTTGTTTGATACGGGCTTTTAACGTGTAGACGGCAGTTGTGCTGTCCGTCTCTGTATGTCTGGCCTCGTGCCGGATGCCTTTTCCATCAGGTTTCAACATCGTCATCATTATGCGGTTTTTTCTGTCTCATTATTGACCAACTTTCGCGCATTGAGCACCCCTCCTTGATAGGTGTTGTTTGATGTGTGCGATCTGAGCAGTTTTCCCGCTCGGCAAATTCCATCTCAACGATTCAACTTGTCCTGTCCAACCCTGTGCATAGATAGTTTTAGAGTTCTTACTATATGATGACCTTTGTCCGGTAGTGCTCGTGTCAACGTAGTTGTATCGTGCATTTTCCTCGGATAGGGTCACACTACGCAAGCCTTTTAGGCTAGCATAATAATATATCTGATGGGAAATCCTCTCCCTTTGTGTTTTAGCGGGCGCGCCTCGGCTGGCCCTGTGTCTCGCCCCCAGCGCGCCCTTGTCTCATATGTTTGTGTTGAACCCTCAAGTTGTTTCTGCCTGGAGTCAATTCTTTCAAAGTGAATTTATTCGCTTAATAAAGATTTGGTCCGAATTTCTGTTGATTTTTTTCTGGTTAATGGGGAATTGTGCATAATGGTTTATTGAATCACATGTATGAAATACTGGAGGAAATATTAGCTAGGTCGCTTTGTGAAGGTATTAACCGTACTCTGTGGGGTCTCAGAGGTAGTTTGTGGGCCGCGTTCATACTTTGCGATCTATCGCGCGATTGGATTATGTAAGGCAGCGTTCAGACTTCGCGGAGGCAGCGCTTCGGTGGTGCCTTTGGCGCGATCGATGCAGTCGGGAGCATGCGAATCGGTCATCGAATCACGCGGCCGACGCGCTTCCGCTGTAAAGTTTGAACGCTGCCTAAGCGTTTGGATCGCGAAGCGTGAACGTGCTCTTGAGAAGGCGGCTCGGAAAAAGCTGAAAGTGTGGGAACGGATAATCTCATCGGCTTTTTTTCCCTGTTTCGGCCATTTTTCGATTATTTTTCAAAAAAGCGAGGTAATCTTTCCAGTAGCGTCATGCATTTCATTTCATTTGGAGCCTTAGGAACGTTGAACGTTTGAATGAGTAAGCATTGCCGTACTATTCAACTTGTGAAGCAAACCAAAGTCAAATCACGCAGAGGAACTAGCAACTTGAACGAAAGGGATGTGCTAAAGAACTGAAGATTTGGTTTATCGACCTCCGTCCTGCTTTGGTGGAATCAGTTGTCAGTTTTCTGCCAGAAAAAACTGAAATTATGGCAGGATGAAGGGGGAGGTAGAAAGGTTTTACCAGGGAATTCCGCCAATTTACCATTGAACTTTGAATGGAGGCCTTGATCGGTAGAGTCTATAAGGTTATTTACAATTATAGATATGCATTCACAAGCAACTTAAACTCAGTCTTCGCCGTTGATCAATCCCTTTGTGGGATGCGGCACGCATTCTACTTCCATTCAGAATCGTAGTGGCTTATTGAATGCGATGTGGCCTATACAATGACTTGCGGTGGCCAGCCGATGTACAAGTCAGTGTTTTATCCTCCCAGACGAATCTGGTACCAATTTACCGTCCCCGGAGAAGGCTTGGTTGGCCTGGGCGGGAGTCGACCCGGGATTCGAACCCGGGACCGCGCGAGTGGTAAGCGCCCCACTTGTCACTACACCAGCTCCGCCCACAAGCAAGTTATGAGCAGGTAAAGTTTGTGGTGGTGCAGTAGGGTGGAGGCTTGGTGAGCTGTGAAGCAATCGCATACGTTGAATCGAGTCGTGGTGGTTCAGTGGTAAGATTCCGACGTTTGTGCAACCTATGCGATTCCTCGCTTATGCTTCACAGCTCACTACCAAGCCTCCACCCTACTGCACCATTACAAACTTTACCTGCTCATAAGTTGCTTGTGAAATGCAGGTTGCAGTTTTGCTATCTATATTTGTAAATAACCTTATAGACTCTATCGATCTACCCAGGTCTCCATTCAAAGCTCAGTGGTAAGTTGGCGGATTTCACTGATTAGGGCCGGTATCTCAGCTCATTTTCTCCATTCTCAGATGTGAGAAACGTTCAATTCGCTAGTTTTACTGAAGTGCTTTGCCTTTTCAGACAAGTTTGAGAACACTAACTGATCTCGGAGGGTTGAAAGGCTCGATAGACCTGGACGGGGTTGCACCTCGAAGAACAAGGCGTCCTTTCCGGCTATTAACCTCCTGAATTCTGGCTCTAGTTCCACCTGTGCTCTATTATGTATGTTATACAGCTGCTAAAATTTCAGGTAATGGAGGATGAGCTACGGAGCGTCTAAAAGTCAGTATCAAATTCAGATGATCAAAGGCGTGCCCCGGCTTCAAGATAAAGTTTTGCGGGGCTCAAATGCTACTGGTAGAGTAGTAAGTAATTCAGCAGTGAAGATAAAAGCAAGCAGAAAAAAAAACAGACCATGTATATTCTATATATGCTAAGGCGCGCTTGTAGGTGCATAAGGCGATGAAAAGGCGTGGTCGGGCAAGTTCTTCTTGCTTTCTCCCTGTCAGCTCACTCACCGTTTGGAATGGACAGAGATAAAAGAGGAACAACCGTACTCCCAGAAAGCCCTTATGAATGAAAATTGGGCGTTGCCGTGGCCAGTGGGTGGGGCGTCGCCTTCGTTGTAAAGAGATCGTACCTTCCTCACGTATTTTTGAGCTTTTGCGCACGTGTATTGGTTGGTACATACTCCATGCTTACGAACAGGACAGCTTGCCCGAAGAAAGCGTTTGAACATCAAATAAGCGCGGTGGGTGCCTTCAGCGGATTAACTAGAGGTTGAATACCTGGAAACAAGATGACTTCTTCTAGTTATCTTTCTGTAAAAAATAGCTCACAGTTTCTCACGCCATGTTGGGCGATCTCTAAATTGGATTTTGATCTCCGATAAACGATCTGCTGTGTCCTCCACACTTGATCGAATCACATTACTATTCATTCTTGCGGTTTGCCCATAAGGGGTAAACGTTTTAAATTGACATTTGATTGTTTGGTTATGAACTCCTTTTTGTTCATTTTTGCTCGAATCTTTTGACTCTTTAGAGGGAGCTGTTCTGCTTAGGAGGGGCATCGTACATTTCCCTAGTTCTTTTTGCCAGTTCGTTTAACTGACAGGTCTCATTTTGGTTAAGCTGCCTCCACCAAGCCGAAGTACGCCCTGTAGAGTATCACCCCTCACGCGAATTCTCTCAAGGTGAGCTGGCAGACCGATTGAGAAAGGAGCAAAATTAAAGCCCATTTTTCATTTCCCTTTCCCAACCCAGGTATGGCCCTTCCTACGGAAATCCTTCTCAAAACATGGAGTGCATGTCGGCTCTGGATTTCACATTATTTGACACCGGTCCTGAAAACCTACATTTCTTTCGTTATGCCTTCTCGAAAACAGCCACCGCAGCACCGCTACCTAAAAACGCCATTTTTAATTGAATTCATTGATTTCGCACGCTTTTCTCGAAAATCTATCGGCGCCCCTCGTCGTTTCGTATTGATAGCAGCGTCCACTTGTACAGTGAACTTCCCAAGTATTCTTTTGGGATTCGTTTTTTTTTCGTAGAATTTTTATTTGTCGAGGAATATTTCTCCTCTCGGTCACATACGCAGGGAGCATTGGTATGGATAAAAGAGCGTCGTCAGTATGAACCCCACGGACGTGCTTTTCTAGAGCCGCCTTCTCCGAGTTTCCTCCTCTGGTATGACCTCTCCCCCCTCCTTTTCCCCATCCTACCTATTTTGCAAATTCGCTCCTTACCAGCTTTCCATTTTCAACTGAAAAAAATGGCGTTGAGCTGGGGGCCCTTTCCAGCCATTTATCTGGAACCAGGCGGCTTTGCCGGCTGACGCCTGCTCCCTTCTTCTGAAATACAGCACGGCTTCGCCGAGCGGGCGCGGCTCCGCCGCGCTTATCTTCTTCCACACATTTCAATAACCACCTAGTATCCGGCTTTTCTTTTATTTGAACAGATGGTCAACATTCTTTGACCAATAGCATGTTCATATTCCACATCATACCTGCTATTTTCAACACTATTACAGTGTATGGAATGGTGGTAAGGAGCGTTGATCAAGTGGACAGATGAGAGAAAAGCCGGGTATTGAGCATTTGATCATACGAATGCAGGTAGGCGCGATGGAGCCACGCCCCGCAAGCCGGGCCGTATCACAGAGGAGGCCTGGAGTGCTCTGGAACCGCTTGAAGAATTCCTTAAGACCGGCCCCGCCCACCTCGACGCACGCTCCACCCACAACGGGTATGCCTCACACTTGTGAACCGGTGACCCCTCGACGACCTACTTTTTCCCGGTGTCTGGAGCATTCAGGAACCGTCGAACTTTTTAATATTCAGCACCGCCCACTTTGCCGCATGCTCCGCTCACAACGGGTGTGCCTCCTACGGGTGTGTGACGTTCTTAAAAGATCTCAGGTCTAAAAGTCAGGTAACACCGCAGGCGAGTCTCCCCAACAGGCATGATAGGTGTGAAGTGAGATCTTTTAAGAAAGTCCTACACCCACCCATCTG